CTGCGTATAGCCGCCCATAATTTCGAACTGAGTAGAAGGAAGGCATCTAGTCAACAGCACCCACCGACAATTCTTGGGCTACTCTAATGGAACAGCGAGATTCAAATCATTCAACTGTCATTCTTATAACGCACCAGAGATTCCAAACGTGCTGAACACACTTTTGTGCAACAAACTTCATGAATCCTCGGTTTCATCACTACAAAAAACCATGAAAATCATTCATTTTCGTGAATTTAAAGAAATTACTTGACAATATTTAAGCACTATAAACTGTATGAAAAGGCCTCATTTCGAGCCCAAAATGAACTATTGTTACCGCAGATATAAATTTCTGAACTATACCAAATGATATTGGAACTGCTGCATGTGTGTGTGTGTAAAAATATTTTTAACAATTTTGCCATAAATGGCTAGTTCTACCTTCAAAGATATAAACTATTTAAAGGACATTAAAAGAAAGCCCTGAAAGTACTTAAGTTATAATTAATGTTTTATTTATACATTAAGAAAACAGGTGTTTAATGATATACTTATATATTTTCTTTCGCAGTATTTGCTATAGAGTATGTATATAAACACAGCATTCTATATCAGCCAATCACAGAAAAAGGTTTGGCGTTTTTAACTATGCTTGATAAATGTTTTCATAAAAGTAAGCATATATTTCATAACATCACATAGGCAGCTGCACTGCGGAGAAGACACATTTCGTAATAAAGTGTTACAAAAAAAACACACACAAGACTGTAAGCAATACGTTTTGAAATCGTAACGACAACAGTAACAAAAAAAAATCCTAAAAGCCATCTGCTTCTAGGTTGATTTAATCGTTACTTGGCTTTCGCCAAGCAACCACTTCTCATTGGCTAAGAGCACAGGTACACACGCACGTGTATACGTCAGTTTGGGTCCAACAATATCCTCAATACCTCAGGGCAAAGAACTAAAACTTTGTTTTTGTAACCAGATCTTCCAGTCGCGAACACTTCCGGTGACGAGTACACTAGCTGATGAATAGACTTTACCTCGCCACCACCTGCGCTTTACCTCAATGACGGAAAGAGGACGTTTTTGAACGGTTAGAGGAGTAGTGCATGGAACAAAAGACCTTCCGCACCTTTCTGAGAAGACCAAAAGACACTTGTGGCTTACAATTCCGACATTTTTTATACAATGCTAGTGTGGCATTCAAACATGTGAACGTAAATATATATTCAGTCCCTAACAGAAATGGACGAAAGAAAAAAAGAAGAAATAAATGTAGAAGTCTCACAAAAATTATCGTCAGGCCCACATGAATTCGCGTTAGTTTTATCTTGTTTGAACTTAATCTGAAAACACGCACTTTCAATATACGTTTTACTGAACAACCTCCAAGACAAATACATACAAGCACGGTATATAACTATATGGGTTCATCAGCTGTCATCTGATTCGAAACTACTACTACGTTTTAGCGACGTAATTGTGTTAATCCGTACACCAAAATAATTTTTTAAGAAAATCGCTTGTTGTGACTGGGAAACAAGCGTAGTTACCCCTTTACCTCGAGAAAGACTGTTCTTGAGATTTGTACAATTTTGTATTTATTGGTTAAACTTTATAAAATAAAATTTCATACCTGAAGATTGTTAGCACTTCTCTATCACCCTTTCTCCCCTAATAGCGATATTTGACTAATGTTAGGGCTCTGAACTAGTTCTTTGGAGTACTTTGCTAATTCCACAACCAACCTTCAAGTCCCGGTTATGCCACTGTATAGTAATGATATTAAAAAAAAAGCCAGTCAAAAGCTGGGTCTCAATTTTGTACAGAACGGTATGCAAAGAATAAACTTACCCAGTTAGTTTAGAAAAGACAATTAAGATTACGAACTTCAAACATAAAACCTTATACAGTCAATTCAGTGCAAAATGAAATGTCGATTGTTGTGTAACCTAAATTAAAATGACAATAAAAAATCTTGTTTTTCGCTTGAATTTTTGTCTTGAAATTGGATATTATATTACGTCATCTAATTTCTTATATCTGAGTATTCTATTGGTCGGTTCCAGTTCTGACTATAATTTGCCATGTTTATGAGATAAGATTCATGTAAAAATATACTGTAATGAATGTGTGATGTTTACTCGGAACTAGGCTTTCGACAAGACGTTACATCAAATATAAGCAGCTGTTGGCAGATCTAGAATGTTCTATTATATCTTCATGTGCCCCCAGTGGCACAGCGGCATGTCTGCGGTCTTACAACGCTAGAATCCGGGTTTCGATACTCGTGGTGGGCAGAGCACAGTTAGCCCATCGTATTGCTTTGTGCTTAACTTCAAACAAACAAACACCTTCATGTACAAAATATGGGTGGATATTTGCGTGTGTTCAACTGCGCGTGTCAGACACGCGCATAAAATACTTCACTCAATAAAATCTACACATATATGTCTCCTATGTGTATGAATAATTTCCGGTTCACCAATATTAGCACTTGTCTCACCGGAAGTACCGGTCACATGGCTGACCTACATTGTGATCATGCTTTGTACATATATAATATTAGCAGTCATTAGACGAACAAAATACGTCACATTTTCTCTTTGTCCATATACTCTCTCATCTATATCTACCTCACTCTCCTCCTAGCAACGAGAATTTGGAAATTTCATTACTTATAAAGGTTTCAATATATTTAAGAAATTATTGGTGGTAACAATTATGTCACAGGAAAAATAAAAATGCCACTGCTGAGTGAAGAAGAAGAATTCAGTTGAGAAAGACAAGGCTATTTCTGTGGTGACTATTATCTAAACTTATATAAGCGAGATTGTATTTGAGGGAATAATTTCTTCTTAATAATAATAGAAAATAAAAACGGAAATATACTTTTTTTAATTTTCTGTTTCTGTTTCTTATTTTACTTAGACTAGAATATTTATAAGAACCTATGAGTGAACGTAGAGAACACTATGAATATGTTAACCACACATCTGCAATATCCAGTACCAAGACATTTCGTCCAATGCAAGATTAAACACTTAGAAAAGTTTCTAACACTTTTTTTGTTCGTTACGGTTTTGTTCATAAGGTAGGGTTTGTTTGTATTTTTCAAAACTAGTGGCACTTTTGAGCTGAAGCTCAACAAAAATTTACTCATTGTTAATAACATGTTGTTTTAGGGAGCTTTCAGGCCTTAGTTTGTTTCAGAATTTTCTCGCAAAGATACAAAAAGGGCTTACTGCGCATTTCAATTCTTAATTTTGAACTTATAGACTATAGGAAAGGCAATTAGTCAACAACACATCGAATACTCGAATAAAATATTGGAATTTAACCATCACTCTTGTGACACACCCATGGCCCACATGTGCAGTTTTACGACAACAAAACGCAAACAATGAACCTTTAAATTCCAGATAGGCACGCTGATCACTAACAAACACACGATGACTCATCAACATATGGTAAAAGTAAAACCGTAAAATGGCTTAGGTTATACGGTATGTTTTTGAAATCATGTAGCGTATAAAAGTTCGGTTTTACTGATAGCCCAAATATCAAAATTATATAATCTACAAGTTTCTAATACACACAGGAAATTTTTATGCCAAAAATATAACTTAAGTCGCTTCGGTGAAATTTAAATCAAACACTAATAAAATAAACAATTCGGGGATACAATGTTCATCTTTTTTTTCCTTCGGAACTGTCTAAGGCTTTGACGTACATTCATAACAAAAAATATATACATGTTGTTTTAAAACATTATTTCTCAAACAGTGGGAAATGTATATAACCAAGAATAACTTTCTATTTTTACAATAAATAAAACTACTTAAATGCTAATGGCGGTCAAGTTACGACGAGTCTTTTAAATTTATTTTTAACATATCAGTATCTGGTACTATAAATACAATATAGAAGGGCCGTCAGAATAATGAGGTCCATTAAATACAAAATAGGGGAAAGGGGATCATTGTAAGCCACGAGTTTGGGATATCTCGTTTTAAAGCGCCTTAACAAACAAACCACACGACGAAATACAGTTAAGATTTTCTTATAATTTAGTTTGATTGTAGTGTAACAGTGTATATGGATTTTTCAAGAAGAAGAAATATCTGTAGGCTTTTCATAAACTCAAGTCAAACTTAATAAATTTATATAAAACTAAAATGTATTAACATTACTCTGTTTATCAGTTGTAATATCCACATAAACAAATTAATTGTTTTTATCACCATAGAAACATTGTGCTGGCAATGCTTTGGGAAACAAAACAGCACGTGTCCACCAGACAAACCTCATTCTTTACACTGAATACAGGCCTATCTGATTTGGCAGAATGCCAATTCTAGTGGCGCGAACATCCATACGATAAAATATGGTATGCGTTGAAGAGGTAATTGCACGAAATATTTTCAGTATGTGACCTCGACGAATTTGAACCTGAATCGCCTGATTACACAATTTAGAAGAAAAGAAATAAGACAGGCTTAGTGTAACTCTCTAGTTAGCCTAAAGATACGATTCTCTACAAAATCCGAAGCATCTAATCTAATAACTAAATAAATCGATTCATCAAACTAAAACATAGTAGCATAAGTAACGAATTTCTAAACCATATTAGCATGTGAGGTGCTTTATATAAAGTTTGGATAAAAGATAAAACTTTTGCTTAGAAGAATTGAGATGCCCATTTTTAATGAAAATTATTGTTGAAAATGTAGCAATCGGGATATGAGGATTTAAAAGCCATTATTGTTTTATTTCTACACTACGGTTTCCAAACCTTAATACAATTTCACGTTTTGGCCTTTTGGAGTATCAAAATTTAATCATTGTTCTTAAACGAACATAATATGAAACTTCGTGATACAGTGTGAATCCAAACTATAGCATTATAGTTATTTTTTTAATAGGGGTCTTCTTCAAGTTGATTTTTATTTTATATCTTTAGTGAATTCTAGTGTGAACTACACAATATATTATTGTTGTATAGCTAATACCTTGCTAAGCTTTTCTCCATCTTGCTGTGGTAACAACTGACGAAGAGACTGGAAGCCGGCATTTATGCTCTTCATTCGACGCCTTTCATTACTGTTAGCTATTTCCCGGCGAATCCTTTTTTCTTGCTCCATTTGTGACTTCGGTGAAATTGGCCTGTTTCCAAGCCTGTCAAAAATAGAGGCATGTCAATATCATCTTTCTTTCCTCTCGAGAACAATTACAGTAGAATTTGAACGCTTATAGAATTGGTAGACAGGTTTTAAAAAAAAACATCAGAGATTACATGAAGAAAAATTCGTTCGGCATATGATAAAATGGAAGGCCTTAAAAATAATTTATCAATATACATTTCTCATCTTTTAATAATATTAACAAAGAAATCTAGAATTTATTAAAACTTGTAAATGATCATTATTATCAGAAAAATAAAATACACCAACAAAACGTTACTATGATGCGTTTTGTGGCGCTATCATTTTTTTATGCATCACTTATTCCTCAATAATTTTATGCTGTTTGAGAAAACTAACGCAATCCATATTTCATAAAAATTACCATTATTAAAGTTACCGACTAATGCATCACAGGAACTTCAATAACACTTGGTGAAAAGACTTATAATTTAATTACATATACGAGCTTTTATTTAGCGTGTATCTTTGTAATTTCGGTCAAATTAAGGAATGCGCTTGTTCGCGAATTGCGTTTTCTACATATAGGAAAGACAAAATACTTTTTAGATCATTTGTCGTGTGCCTTCTGTTTCACCACAGCTTATTTTAGTTACGAAGTCGTTTTTCATCATTCGTCCTCGCAGCTGCCAGACAGTAGACACCAGACAGCCAACTAGTCCTTCGCTTGACGCGCAGATGAACTTGGCTCGATGCCAAATATTCTTTGGCCATTGTACGTCTACTCCATGTATATGTGTGTGTGTGTGTGTGTTTAATGAGTGGGAATCTCAGAGAGCACACAACCCGCTTGTGCTACTAACTACACGTATATTAGCGGTACTGTACTGTGCGTAGCACTAACGATATCGCCTACTACTGGCGGTGTAGCCATTTAACGATACATGTTCCTGCATACTGAAAAGTAATTTTATAAAGATATAAAAGTAATTTAATAATGTTACTTCATACGTGAACATTAATACAAAATAAAATACAGCGAAATCGTGATCATATCTCAAAGAAATGATTAAAATGTTGCAACCTGTAATCGGAAAAAAAATCGTGGTTAATATTTTGACCAAGCGACCTTCACTGGAAGGTTAGCAACTTTATTTCTTTGTATTTTCAAACGATATATATATATATATGGGTTTTAAAAGACGGGTAAAATAACTTAGTTTCCTAATTTTGGCCACAAGATGTTCATCAAATCCCAATGCAATAATACACTGCAATTCCATGTAACCGGTTAAGAAAAACTATAGGAAATTACAGCAGACTCATGAAATATTTACAATATTATAAAACAAATATTTAAAAACTCATTTCATAAAACAATGTTATTTTCATAATTATACAGTTACACCGTGTGCATATATCTCACACTAACTCATAGTGCTTATTCTGAAATATTAACCAAAGAAAATCCTTACATTATCAATATTATCATCCAATAAATAAGTTTATTATTTTCAATTTCAGCATTTTTGTTTCTTTATCTAAAATATTATTTTTTTTTTCGATTTTATAACAAAACAGTTATATTTACAATTCCTCAAATGTTCACTTCGTATTTATCATTTCATCAAATTAGTTACTGTTATTAGTATTATATTATGTTGATCTCGCATCACCAAAAATATTGGTATTTATAAGTTTACTCCCCCGCTTACTACTGTCAGGCTCACTCACCACCAATTTGGCGTAACGGTATGATATACTAGTTTGTTACTATTCACCTTATTAAATTTTTTGCAAGTCATCAAAAATATGAAAATTGTGCCGAATGCAATGCTTAATAAACCTAACAGTAATATTTTAGCTTATAAATTATACTGTTAGTGTTATAGTACAGGTTACTAAACTATTTATTTTATAGTTAACGTTTATAAGTTAACCTACCTAAAGTTAGTGATTAATTAATTATTTTTTCATTCATTCCAATATTGCACAATAATATTATTGCATGGAGAGTTAAGATTCAGTTTTAATGTACAAGATTAAGTTTGCCGAATAAAAATTAACAGCTCACAATCAGCAACAGTCAACAAACCCAACAGGAAATACCGGCGGAGCTTGTGGTTGTACTGTAGTAACTAAGTAATAACTACAATTTGTACACATACACGCCTCTCAATACGGCATGGTTACTTCAGTTCTACACAACTTACCTGCACATGCCTCCTATAACTTCGTCTTGTTGTCTCTTTAGTTCATTAAATATTCGTCTTTTCTCACTGTTGCGAGAATATAAAGCCATTTCTTAGTTTCAGAACTTCAAATTTTATACACACTTAACACTAAGTGATCACGCTAACCAGTTTCTCTCGCTACGCAACACCGTTTGGCGGGAAAAGCGTGGTGCATGGTGTGGTGTTATTCTGCTCCTACTCTAATAACGGTATAATCCCTTACCATCAACAGTTACTGTATAGTTACATATGTAAGAGACATTTAAAGTTCTAAATATTGTTACACTGCGAATATACTTAATGAAATTCACTATTTTCTGTTTGGTTATTTTACGTACTATTTCTTGGCGCGTAAGAATAAAATTATTGGCTGATCAGCTGTCTTCTCTGTGGATCGCGCGGTTAAGCGTAGGAATTATTCCTGTCATGTGTATGTGTGTAGACAAAAGTTAGGAGAATATGTATCATATTGGTATTATAGATCTTTAAAAAAACAATTACATAAGTGAGTTATGAAAATATTTTGCAAATATTTATGTGTAAATGTTATAATGTTGTTTAAGATTTCTCAAATGTACTTGATAAAGTGGTTTTAGAAAATAATTTTGAAAACATTGAAGTACAACTTTCATATTCTTAATAGTAAGTTTACTACAGGTTTCCTACCATACGTCCAATAGTAACATGGATCGTGTATTAATTAAACGTTAGAAGGTGGGTTCTTGTCAAGGAGGTTGGCACTTGTTTCTTGTGGTCATGTCAGTCAATAATAAAGGGAAGCGATCCATGCATCCATCAGGTGTTGTGTGTGATTTTAAACGAATTCAACTCGATGACAGACGTTTAAGTATCAATATCGATAAAGTGATATCTTAGTAGAAATGAATTATTTATCCATACAGAATTATTCTTTATGTCTTGAAATTGAAAACAAGAAATAAGTGGCTTTTTTATTTTATTTTGAACATTTTATTAAAATTCGAGAAGTGCATAAGATAGAAGTAATTAACAAAAAAGTGTTCATTGTCACTCACCATATATTTAGTGCTAAAATATACGCGATAAAAGTATATCAGTTATATCTTTAATTGAAATAAACTGCAAAGTTCAGTAGCGTACCTCGCCTTTTCAATTTTTCTGTCTGATAACAGTATACTGTATGTTCTGAAATAGCGGATTTACGTTTTAATTTACCTAACCAACATTTAATTAAAATGCTGCTTTAAAGTTAACATTTATTTAAAGAAAACTAAGGGTTATGAATTTATTTTCGAATTTATTGTAATATTTCTTTTTCATGTGCCCTCTGAAGCGTACATGGCCACGCACCATTAGCGTTTGCATGCTCCGAAGCCAAGCAAATTTGACCATTGACTTGCGCTATCCCTCGGGTAATCCTGAATACGTCACTGCAGCACGGAATTGCAAAATAACTAGTAAACAACACGTGAAATACAGCATTGTTGTTAGTCGTATAATAGTGTTTATATATAACAAGTAAACATTGCGTAACTTGACACACTTTCTTACAGATTCTGGGAAGGTGCCAGTCTTATGATCAGATATAATTTTGTTTGTTCTAATAGTGCTCTAAAAATAATCTTTAGTCACGAAATTAAACATCTTCAAAAATTTAGAATCTAAGATGTTTAGTCGTATACTATATCACCCATGAAGAGGAGTTATTGTCTATTTTTCATCATATTTTGTTAATTGTCTGATACATAATGTTTCGTTATTGCATTCTAATAAATGCTAAAAAGATTGAAATAAACGTGGAACAATTTGTTTACACTTTTTTAAAAACTACCCATAAGTATAGCAGTGGAGAAGTTCACCTATAACAATAAGAACCACTTCACAATGTACTACTTATCATTAAAATATTGTGCTAAATTTTCTATCCAGAATGGAAATAACTATGTATCTAATAATTCTCTACACCTGTGTATCAATGTTTACTTGAATTTTGAATTCTTCTCCACAGTTCTCAACAAAATGACTTAACATTTTCCACGTACGTAAGCTCACAGGAGGAATACAAACGAAAAATTTAGTTTTCGTAAGAGTTGTGAGGAGGCTCTAAAATAGAGCATCATGGGGCCTTAGGGGACTCATAGGTTTGAATGAACCGCTTTATTTTAAAATTGATATTACAATGTAAGAAACCGCTCTTAACAATAACTGAAATTCAAGTTTTAGAAATGTTCAAAACGTTTTCGTGGGTTCTCTAGATTGGATCCATGAATTTGCATAAAAATTGGCATAATCATGTAAAGGATCAGTGGCACAGCGGTATGTCTGCGGACTTACAACGCCAGAATCCGAGTTTCGATACCCGTGGTGGGCAGAGCACAGATAGCACATTGTGTAGTTTTGTGCTTAATTACAAACAAACAATCAGGTTCCCAAATCGGAAATCAAAGGGTTTGGGGGCTCTCGGAATTGGGTATGGGAATTTACTTGAAAATTGACAAAAGCATGCAAATAGTCTTTCAAAGCAAAACATGCAAACATTTTTACGTAGTTTTTACCTTCTGTGAATTTTAATCGGAAGTATACCAGTTGCTCATTAAATGTATTTATCAATTTATCAATTCAGTTGTAAAGTAACTAGAACAACTTTTATCAAAAACAAAATATTGAAACACATAATTACCAAAGTATTCAACCGATATTTTCTCTTCAACAAAATACATCTAATAATAACATCATGATATTCAAACACATGTTTACGCAGGGTAATTGTCACCACCTATGTTGTTTAGATAAAGTTTATACAAATGAAATTAAGACTTCATTGTAGAGAATTACGCATTCTTATCCGCCAGATTTTTATTTTTTGAGAGAGTATAATAGAGGCGATTGATTATCTTTATAGCTCAAAATTCCCTTGTTACTCAAAAATCCACAGTTACGAGAAAAGCTGATGAAAGCTATTTTCGGGCCAAAAATATCCCCCCGTGGGGCAGCGGTAAGTTTATGGACTTACAACACTCCAATCCCTGCTTCGATTCCCTGTGGCTGAAACAGCAGAGAGCTGGAAATCTTACGATAAAAGTAAAGTGGATATTTATGAATTATTAAAAATATAACCAAAAATATATTTAAAAAAATTTATAGCCTAACTTAATCACCCTTAACATTGTTGGTTTAAGAGTAAAACACTGTTATTTTATTTTAAAATGAAATTATTACTGTACTAAAGATTCAGGTGGACGTACGTAAACAACTTACTACAGTTACATTGTTGTTTATGTTTCACATGGCGATAATAATTACGTCATCTGTATTTGGGTATAAATATTTGAACAGATATATCCAAGAGAATATAATATATACAACATAAATTTATATTAACGATTTATTGATATAAATATTCTCACGGATAACCCGTTTATCGTAGCGGAGTGGATGGTATCTAAGCATAGCTTAGTTTCCAAAGAAACAAGAATGATGTAAAAATTTCACTACGCGAGCTATTTCAAGGAAACTGTTAAAGAAATACAGTAAGGATCACTTGAAGATTAATAAGAAGTCAGTAACCCCAAATCAAGTATATTCGATGGATTTTCGTAAAATAGTTAGGTATGATAGTCTTCGAAACAAAATGTAGTATGGAAAGAAGCAGTAATTCGATATTTATATAAACATTTTTATGATAAGTTTCTTAGAATGTACTTATCATATTATTGGGCAACCGGGCTTCCATTTTATATAAATCTCACGAACAGTATTTGAAAAAAGACGATTACCAAGTATCCTTAAACTGTAGATTGTATAAATTCCTGATTGATAATTGTCACGGATGTTTGAACGCACGGACGTTTTTTGCGTAACTATTTATTTCCAATATTTGAAAATGCTACTTTCTGTGCTGCCATATATCAAACATTAAATATTTAAATTTTTTGGATAGAGATAAGCGAATTGTTTTTGTTGTTGTCACCCTTGTGTTTTGTTTTAATAAGCTTAAGTTTCCTAAATATAGTGTTACGTCTCCGTTTGTTAATTTATTTTTCCGTAACTTCGTTCCGACGAAATT